TAGTAATATTAAAAAAATCTATCGAGGATATTACAAAGTTTAAAACAGACAATCTTCCGCTACTTGAAAAAAAAAAATTCCTCATGAGAGGAATATCATAAATAATATATACACAGTTTTCTCTGGATCATTAGATTGGGAACCAAATAAGAATACAATAACTCTCACTGTGTCAAAGAAGGGTATTTATCGATTAACAATAGTGTCACTGAACCAGTTTAATATATCATCATCGACTTCATATGGATACAACAACGTGATTTCAACGACTATTGACGTGGGTGAATACAAACGGTTTACAATAACAAGCACTGATCCTAATTTAAATAAGACATCATTTGTATGGTACATGGAGTTTGTAGCTGATCTGAATTAGAATTTTTAACAATTAGAAACCACTTGAGATTTTAAAATAATATGATTCCATCATCGCAATATCGCTATGATACCGTCAAAGAGTTTTTAACAAAACTCAAAACACTCATTGATGAGTATGAAATAAAAATTAAAAAGTATCGCAGGAGAATTACCGCAATTGATGTTACAGTATACTCGGTATCTGGTATAATGGCCGGTGCTGGTATTATACTATCTTCAGTAACAATGGTAGCTCCGATTGCTGTCCCAATTGCTATTTCCGCGGTGACAACATTTGCTGGAATTGCAAATGCTATTACTAAAAAAATATCATCCTGTTCTCAAGAAAAACTTAACGACTATATAGTAAAACATCAAGCAGTATCTAACGGTTACTCACAATTATCCTCGTTGATGTCATCATCGATTGATGATACGATTAAAAACGCTAGCGTTTTTTCATCTATTGCGAAATTAGACATTGTAAATAATAATAATAATAATAATAATAATAATAATAATAATAATAATAATAATAATGTCGCAAGAGATTCAACTACTTCAGCGGATAGCAGAAAATACCACTCCGCGGAAAACAAGCATGATATCAATATCGTCAACAATCCCTGAATTCAGTGTGAAATTCCCTTCCCCTGTTTCAGTAAAAGAAATCGCGTTGGCAAAATTACGAGTGTATCATAGTTGGCCTAATATTAGATCGGTTCCATTTGGTGGTCAGAGACCTAATAATTCTCTGGTATTTGCGTATAGAAATAAAAAAGATGACACTCCAGATTGGAACGTTGTTTCAATACCAAATGGGTCCTATCAAATTGAGCAAATTAATAATGAATTACAACGTAGAATAAAATCTATTACTAGAAGGGAATAAAAAATCGCGATAACAGTTCATGAACCAACACTATCATCTGCAATTGAAATAAGCTCTCCTGGGTATGTTGTAGATATTCATAACAGTTCAATAAGAACAGTATTAGGATGGCCCGAAGATCCACCTGATAGAAATGCTAGCACTTCCACACCCGAGCCGGTAAAGTCTGATTATATCACTGATAAGATAGCATCCGAGAATCCAGTAGAAGGTAATAGAGATCGCAGGAGTATATCTTCTAATCTCCTTAGCAAGGCGATTCGTGAGGGGATCACGGCTGGCGCTTTAAAGTTCATGAAGGCGCATATAGAGAAATTGGTGAAAGAGAGGGATGAAAAGATGAAGGAGAAATTGAAGAAATAGTTGAATGAAAAGTTTAATGAGGAGTTAGATGAACGTCGTATTACTGATAGATTCACAGCGATAAATAATGATCTTTCGTTATTGTTAGTATCTCTAAGATCTGGTTCTCTCACTAAAGACGAATTCATCAGCGTGGTAGCTACATGTAATAAAATTATCGATGACGCAGAAAAATATCATTCTCGAACCATTCAAGAAATAACAGGTGATCCTGAATTAAGTAAATTTTTTGCAGAGAAATATAAAATCCCCGTTGAAGATATTCCAACGTTTAAACTACCAGGATATAACATACCAGAATTGAAGAGAGATCTCAGAGCGGCCATCGACGAGGGATTCAGAATAATCCATGACGAATGGGAAAATAAACAACCCAAACCAACTATATTGACTCACAATAATTCTCAAAACGGCGACGGTAGACATATCGCACCGAACAATGTGGACATTTCATCGGTGATCGCGCTTAATTTAACTTGTGATGTAATCGAAGGAAGCTATCAAATTAATCTCGAGCAATCAAATAAAGCCCGACAAAGTTACATTCTTTATTCATTTACGCCAACAGCTCCTCCAGGATTTCTAATTGTTGAGAATCCGACTAATCTAGTCTATATGAAATGTCAAAATGATTCGCTAACTAGAATTAATTTTACACTCACCGATCAGTCAAATAATTTAATTGATCTACGTGGTGAAGTATTATCGATTAGTCTGTTTGTGAAAAGCTAACAAATATTCGGTTAAATCATTTGTATTAACCCTGAAATCCTTCCAGCGGGGGGAGGGCTATGACAACATATTTGCGACGTAGATGATAGCAATTATTGGCAGCAATTTGAGGGTGGTTATGACAACATATTTACGACAAAATCGCTAAGGCTCCATTTGTAAAATGGGGTCTTTATTTTTTTGTTGGTTGAAATGAGATTTCGTAGGAAGGCTCTATTGGGCATTCTGAGGCTTTAATCGATTTTGTCGCAAAAATTTGTAGGGTTCCCCCCTGCTGCTGTCATTTTCGCCTAAAATGAGAGTAGGGAATTGATTTTGGAAGATATTTTTAAATGCATTATAATACATCGAATTGGAAGATATTTCCGGCTTACTTGATGCCTATTTGTGTTAGAAACATTGATTTTCTTTGGCTCTTTTGCCTGAGCATGAGCAGAAGGATAAAAGCTGGACTTTTTTTGTTGCTAAATGGACCCATCATTTTCATGTCGAGACCACTCTACATTCTAAATGCCCATCTTATCCTAATTTTTGCAAAGGTTCACATGTCTGTGTGCAATTCAGACTGGTCTATCTTCGATCTGAAGCCAAAAAGTCTAAAATCCGGACACAAAACCAGAGGCGTAGCTAGGGTGGGTCAGGGGGGTACATATGTCCCCGGGCGCCAGAATGAGGCTTACAACGTTATATTATAATAAGTAAAATTGAAAAATGTGATTAAACGGGGAGGGGGCTGGTGCGCCAATTTTATAGTTCGTCCCCTGGCGCAAAATATAGCTACGCCTCAGCACAAAACCGGATCATGAACTCAAGAGAATTTTGGCTGAAAAAAAATTGGGTCCAAAAAGTGACGTTTTTCCCTCGGTATTTTGTAGTGCAACTAGAACATCCATATTATTTGTACCTTTCTATAATACCACCTACTTTATTGTGTCGCACATAGCTTTAATGCTACAGAGCTCAGAAGTAGGCTACCACCTCCTGCCTTGTAAACGCGGCGCTAGGGGTTAATGAGTTAAACAAGAATTTTGAAATTTTTTTACAAATTGTTAAAAATGGCTAAATTTGTAATTTATGTGCAATATCAATGCACAAGAAATCAAATACGCAAGAAATATTCAAATTTGGTGACATCACCAAAATGCACTGTTTAAAGAGATCAAAACATTTGTATAAGATGTCAAAGATTGTCTTGTTTTTCTGCAAGTGGTTGATGGAACAACATGAACTATCCTGTAGTATTTCTAGGTGAGGTACAGAGTCAGTTTTGGTGGCGCTCACCAGTTATTATGTACTTTTGAGAGAGTGATGTATGTAAGGTGATGTTGTTTGCATTTTAAACATGCATAGTGGAGAGAATGTTGGTATACCTATATACTACTTTCATGTAATGTGGCTGAAATTTCTTTGGATATTGTACTTTTGGAAATTTTAAATGATCTTAGGACACTGCTAACTAAAATGACTGCTCCCTTGTGCTCCAAAAATCAACCTGAATTTGTCTAATGTACAGTATTCTTGGCAGCTATTAAAATATGGAAAATGAATTTTGCCAAACTAGACAATACCAGCTTCTAAAAGTGCAATGAATGAATTACCAAAAACATAAAATGTAAAAAAGTTATCAGCTCTATTTTTTACAATTTACCTCTGAAGTTCCAGAAGTGAAAATGAGCAAGTAGAGGTAGCACTTTTTTGAAAGGTGCACATCTGGAGTAAGGCCAAGCTGTATACTCTCTAACCCAAATTACACCCATCAATCATATACCAAAAAAAGGAATTAAAGGTTTTTTGAACAATACCTAAGATATACAAAGTCTCTTTTAAATAGCCAGTATAACTAGCGAGGAAACCCAGGGAAACTCTTTTTCTTTAAAATTCTAACCCTATGCTAAATATGAAACTGTAGAGCGCCACCTTTATTAATTACTTTTATAACTTATAATTTGAATTTCTTTTCTTGATAAAAATTATAAAAGAATTTTATTTGAACTTCAATTTTTAGACTATTCGAGAACAATCTTATGTGTGTGTGTGTTTTGGATTCTTAACATGTCTTTAAAAAATTTTCATTCATATTGCTATGATGTCTGCAATGTAGCAGTTAATAGTGATATCTAGCACTGAGACATCATGCTGCAGATATATAGCTTGATGTCTTATTCAGTCACAGTATCATGGCACCAGGCCTAACACTAACCTCTTAATGTTGAAAGACAAGTGAGGCAGCTTTTAATACCATTTTTATGACTTTGGTATGACTCAGCTGGGGAGAACAGTCTTAAGCAAGTTTTATATATATATATATATATATATATATATATATATATATATATATATATATATATATATATATATATATATATAATAGATATAAATAACAGAAAACAATCAAATATTTTATAAATTTTTTTTTAAACAAATTGTATTAATCTGCAACATTTACAACTGATAATTCATAATGATGGTTCCTTAACAACTACATTTTTTAAAATAAAAATAACATTACAAGATCAGTGGCATAAATAAAATGTCTGAGGTGTCCCAAGACCTACAGTAAAAGAAAAAAAAAAATAGCTGCAACTTCATGGCATAAAAAATTATTCTTGAAAATAATTAATGATGCCCCAAGACAAACCATCTTTTAACCGCTCCGGTGGCCTAGTGGTTAGAGCGCCTGCCTAGGATGTGGGAGGTTGTGGGTTTGATCCCCCATCAAGTCATACCAAAGACTTACAAAATGGTACTAACAGCTGCCTCGCTTGATGCTCAGCATTAAGAGGTTAGTGTTAGGACTGGTCAGCCTGGTGTCAGGATGTGACTGGGTGGGACATCATGCTACATGTGTGCGGCATGATGCCCCCCAGTGCTAGACATCACTATAAACTGCCAGACTGCAGACATTGTCGCAATATGACTGAACAATTGTTAAAGTTACGTTAAAAATCATAATCACATCACAAACTATCTTTAAGATAATGCTATTCCCACTCTTTATCCTTCTGAGTGAGGTGGAGACAGAGAACAAGTTAATTTTTAAGTAAATTATATTTTTCTGAGAATACTTACCCACTCACATTATATTAGTAATATCAGAATGCTACCTTATAAATACAGCCCAGCTAAAAAAAAAAAAAACCCGCCCCAGTCTAAATCAATAAAGGGAAATAACTCTTGCCCATTACCTACCCTTGGCACTCCCAGTTGTTGCTTGTCTTTAGCTGAGGGAGATACTAATGACGATGCTAGCATGGCAGAGTGATTGGGATCATTTTCAGGTACTATGATTAAGTAAGTATTCTTGGAGAAACAGTGCTTTCTCCTTTAAATACATTCCCCTTTCACATTAGGATAGGAGAATAAATAACTGGAGGCAAGGGAGCTGAATATCCAACCTCTACCTCAGGTATCCTTCTAGGGAATAGCTGGATTCAGCATGTAACTGATAACCTGTTCTTCCAATTATAAAAGCAACACAGCCTGGGGTTACTTGAAATGTGACCCTAACATAAGAAGATTGTTGAAATCTTGTTAACTACAAATATTAGCAGCAAATCAGCAAAGCTAGTAGGCTGTCTAGATTGCTCCAGATGGGTCTGGCGGCCATTTTCGCTGCTGCCACTGGACCTCCCAGATTCAAAGTTGCCTCTGTGATACCAAAAGTCTGAGAAGGAGGCTCAAAAAGGTTGCCAGCCAACATATTCTATTATGTCTATTATTCTATTATGTCGGTCAGAATGTTGTACTGCTGTCTTTTTAAATTTCAAATGAGAAACCATATCACCTGTTGTAAAAAAGCATACTTGATCTGATGGTGTATTCTTAAAGAGGGGACAGGAAGAGGTGATTGTTGATGAACAAAATCAAATACCTCTCCAAATGCAAAGAGGGAGATCCAGTGAGCTCAAGTCAGTTTCTAACTGCCTCTGTACCAATGCTTCCTAGGAATCAATGTTGGTACATGTGACTGAGAAGATCCCCTGTCCTGAGGCTGCAGATGTTAGCATCTCTTTAAAAGGACATGGACAGAGTGGTTTAAACTGATCGTATGGGTTGAATGGCAAGGTGGAGGGGCAGTTCCCGAGCTGCCTGCCTCTAAACTTCCTTTATTCTTCCTCCAAAGCAATGGTGACCTGAACAGACCTTGTAAGACAGGGTGTAATAAGGTTGTAAAGACATAGCTTGCAGACATACAACACATTACATCAAGAGCAGATTGGCCAAATCAGTCAAATTATTGACCATGGTATAGTAAGCGGCCACATTAAAGAAAAGCAATCCTAGCTATCGCTGCCCAATCATGGTATATCTGGGTGTCTGTAATGACATCCCAAACCAACTCTGATGGGCATGGAGCAGATTTTTGTCAACACTATAAAACAGAAGAACGTATATATGAACAGCTACTACATTCCTATCAAATGCTTGGAGATTGGTTCTGCATGTGTCTGCTGTCAGTCTTCCTCCTCCTCAAAATCTACCAATTCTTTAGATCAGTGGTAAGGGTGGAAGGCATTCTGACATAGGCAACACCCAAAAAATGTCTTTGATGACAGCTTGAAAGCTAACTTTAGTCTCTTCCATGGTCAGATCTGAATAAGATGTGAAAGATGGTGGAAGTGAAGGAGTTTTGTAGTACTCACTGTGTGACAAGTTCAACTGGGTCTACTTGCAGTTCTAGAGACAACATACCAGGTAGAATGAAGACATAATTCCATCCCTATGAACTTGTCATTAGCTCTCCCTTGTGGGCAAGCAGTGAACAGATGGACTGGCTCTCACTGGTATTGGCCACTCCAAAAGATAGGCTGGATGGACAGATTTCTCAATGAAATCTCCATCATATAAAGGGCATGTCGCTGACTGGACAGATGGATCTGCCACTAACATTCTTGTAAATCATAGCTATCTGGACCAATGAAACAAAAAGGTCACCAAGTTGACATGGATGGCTACCATATAGTTTTAATATGCAAATGGATCCAATGTGAATGGTGTTTGGTAAGCCTGGATGCTGGTGGTATATAAGACAGTCCAGCAATCAACGGTACTGGCCACACCAAAGACATTGTTCAATGGATTGATTTCTCATTAAAATCTCTAGTATAGTCATAATAAGATGCCAACGATGTGGGTAGATGGGCAGATCTGTTACTAAGATCTCCGTATGAATTATTTGGTTAGACCATTTTAATAAAAGGTCCCCCATGTTGGGACGGCTGGACTACAGGTGCCATCTGGAGAGTTAATGATGTTAGGAATGGTATGGCAGTATTAGGAGTTGGATCCAGCGTGAACCTTATGTGCTCCTACTTACAGGCCTGAAAGCCATACTCAGAAATGCAAGGAGGACTTACACCTTGTGGACTGCCTAAAACTGGGGAATACTCCCAATAAATAGGTATTACCAACAACAAACCAATGGTTGTCTTCCTTGATTTATTCCATTTTTTTCTTCCCTTCAATGCAGAACGGTCTATTATCTGAATGTACATTTCATGTGTATAGTAAACATTTCTCCTGAAATGACCCAATAGGAAAAAACAAAGCCAAATTGGCAAATTAATCTATGACTAATTAGCTAAAATGAAATCTAAGACTTCCACTGACTACATATTATAGATGCTGCATATCATAAGCAGTGTATATATAGTATAAAAAACAATAGTGATGGTAGATTTTCATTTTTTTGAAGTTGCATATAAATAATTTAAAATGACAATCTGATGAAATAACACAAAAATACAAGTTAAAACAGAAACTAGTAAAGTACAGAAATTACTAAGTCGCTAAAAGACTGTTGTAACTAACAGAGCAGTGAGATAGCACACTAATATTCCTAACATAAATTGGAGAATGTATTTGAAGAAGAAAGTTTGATTTCCTGTGGTCCCAAATGGCAAAAATTCTACACCGCTATCACTGAAATTCCAGCCAAAAATTCACGCTTGATCATTTTAAATTGAGAAGAATATTGAATTTTTGGCCCCATTGGAAATGAATAACACAATTGACATATTCAGCTACATTTATAACACAAAGAGTCACTTTATCCAATATTTAATTTTAAAAAAAATGGAAGAAATAAAATAAAAATAAACCGATTTTCGACCATAACCTATCTTCCAGGTTGCTGTCATAAGGTAAACATGGTGAAGCAAAACAAGAAGCTTTTCTAGCATCCTTATCAAGTTTTATTACAGTATGGGAAAAAAATCTTCGTTCTCTTTTTGAAAATAACAGGTATGCATAAAAGAAGATACAAAATCCATATTATAAGAAACATTAAGTACTTGGAAAATTTCAGTTATTTCTTAAAATATAAACACTAATGAAGATTTACACACACACACACACACACACATCACTCCCTTGACAACTCGTGCCATGATAACCCACAAACCTGCTTGTAATGGCATGGATCTCATTTTTTTAAGCTAGACATTTTGAAAAATGTGGTCACATTTGGTAACTGAAAGTCTGAAATACCACTTAGGCTGGAAATTTGAATCAACATTATCAAATAGTTAACATTTTTATAAAAAGTCATATTTTTTCAACATTTTCTTTCCAAACAACATACCTTAAATAATACAATAATAACGATAATAATAATAATAATAATAATAATAATAATAATAATAACGATATTCAACAAAATTTTGACCAATGACTGTGTTTTGACTGCTGACTTGTGGAAGTATTTGTTGTATTGTTGCAATGAATTAAAAGTTGACCTCCTTCCTATTATCATGTGAAAAATCTCTTTTGTATCAAATAAAGAATGTGGAATAAAAGAAATGTTAAAGAGCATGCAAGTCCTACATGTGTAAGATCTAGCAGCTCTGGTGAACTCATTACAAGAACACCGTTATAAATATTATTGTGTACTTAATAGAATTAGACTACCTTAAATTAAGCGACTCAATCATAAATGTGTTCAAATATAGCAAGGCAACCCTGCGAAATGAATACTCTGTGAAATAAAGAACTTTTGTTTCAAAAATACTAATCATTGTGGAGAAATGGGTTTCAGAAAAATTCTGAATTGGTACCAAGAGATATCATCAAGCATGTGAAGTTTCACTGTTACAAGCAATGAAATCATGAAACCAATATTTTACTACCATATTTTATGTTATTTTTCATATATGAAAAAAAAATATATTTATTTCAGTGTATGAAAAATTATATGTAAAATAAATAATAATCATTTGGTGATACTGTGTACGAAAAATAAAGGGATAGTACCAAACAAAAGTAAACGTGTATTTTCTGTCATTTTGCTCTCAGTTTAAGAATCTAATTACAATAAATCAAAAGTAGTACTATTGTTAATAGTGAACGAGAGAGAGAGAGAGAGAGAGAGAGAGAGAAAAAGAGAGAGAGAGAGAGAGAGAGAGAGAGAGAGAGAGAGAGAGAGAGAGAGAGAGAGAGAGAGGATTATATCTCATTGTGCATTTTAGAACATATGTAGCTGTTATGTTGTGTAATAAGAGCAAAATGATCAAGATGGTTGGAACATGTACAAGTTATATTATTTATTGGTAAATTGTATGCAAGTTGACAATCCCACATTGTCAAGAAATAAGTGCAAGTTGTATTTTTACTGCAATGATAATCTCATAATCAAATTGCCAAAAAAATAAAGAACTTGAAATCATTGTTTAAGGTAATGCGTGAGAGATCAATCAAATATTTTTTTCAGTGTACAAAACCGTAT